ACCACCTGGAGAAAAATTGATTGGTTGTCGATGGGTGTTTAAAGTAAAGAAAGGAATAGATGGGCAGTAACCCATAAAGCTCGCCTTGTAGCTCAAGGTTTCGCTCAAACAGAGAAAGATTTCGATGAGGTGTTTGCTCCGAGTTTAAGAGCTAGCACGTTAAGAAGTATGCCAGTGTGGGCGGCAAAGAATAAGTATATTATTAATCATATAGATGTGGAGACGGCGTACTTGCATGCTCCATTAAGACATACTATTTATATGAGGAAGACGTTAGGAGTGAAAACAAACGATCAAACTGATTGTTGGAAATTAAATAAAAGCCTTTATGGTTTAAAACAATCAGGGTTTGAATGGAACCAGTGAATAGTGAAAGAGCTGAATAATATTGGTTTTCAGGAAGGTGTAGCAGACAAATGTCTCTTTAAGAGAGAGAATAATGGTGTAGTATCATTTTTGCTATTGTTCACAGACGATATAGCAATTGTAACTAAAACTGACAAGGAAGCAATGGATATTGTTAGACAGTTACAAGAGAAATTCAAAATTAGAAATTTAGGACATATTAGACATTATTTAGGTCTTGATATTGTTCAAACAGCTAGAGGGTATAAACTGTCACAAGCTAGCAAGATTAGTCAGATGTTGAAACGCTATAGCATGGAGCTATGTAAGCCAGCTAAAACGCCTATGGCACAGGATTTTCAACATGAAGAAATCCAAAGTCCTGGATTTAGTAAGGAGATCTATCAATTGCTGATAGGGAGTCTATCGTATCTTAGCAATTGGTCGAGACCTGATATTTCATATAGCGTAAACCAATTAGCAAGGTATAATGCAGAACCAACAGATAGGCATTGGCAGGCTGCAAAGCGGATATTGAGATATTTAAAGATGACAATGCATTATGCATTATATTTAGAACCTAACCGTGATCTTACACTGAGCGCATATGCTGATGCTAGTTTCACTACTGATTTGACCACCAGAAAGTTTACATCAGGTATTGCGATAATGTTAGGTAATTGTTTAATAGGATGGAAGTCAATAAGGCAGAAGCATATTAGTTTATCCACTATGGAAGCAGAATTTTCATGCTTGTCACTAGTATGTACTGATTTAATTTACTACAAACAATTAATGATTGATGTAGGATTAAAGGTAGATTATCCTATTGTAATTTATGAGGATAACCAAGTTGTTATAAAAATGGCAACAAATTTAGCAGTTAAGACAAGATCGAAATATACTGATATTCGTTATTTGAACGTTCGTCAGAGTATTCAAAGTAATATGGTTCAGTTAGAATATTGAAAACAATGTTGCTGATAATTTCACCAAAGCGTAGGGTGCAATTAAACATAAAATATGTTGCGAAAGCTATGGCTTGAGAATTTGAACAGGTATATATTAGCCTGTCCAAAGGGGAGAATGTTAGGATATGGTGTAAACCTAACAAGTTGTCCAGGCAATATATGTGTTCTATCACTTTAAATGTATTCTGTAACTTCGGACTGATTTGAATGGCTAAAGACTTGGATTGACTAAAGACTATGCAATTGTTTTTCACTACCAAGTAAAAGCTTTGTTAAACCAGTTTGTATGTATTGTATTCATTGCTCTCAGTACCGTTTCTTTGTGCACTTACTCTGCTGGTTGGTAACACAACAATATCCTTAACAGGCATAGCATGGTTTGGTAGGTGTGGCAGAGGAAGGATACTGTAAAATCTCCATTCCCTCCCCAATTCAGGGGAAAGTTACTGCAAAATCCCCATTTCCTCCTGATCAGCTGGGACTCGAGAAGCAGAGAATAGATGAGGCAGGGCCAGTCAGAGGTGGTATTTACCAGTTCTCCGAACTACTCAAAATTTCCACTACTGGTTCTCCAGAACTGGTCAGAACCTGCTGAAACCCACCTCTGATCTCCCCTATTTCCTGTTCTGTGTGTTCCAGCAAAATTTCTGACTTTTTATTACCCTTTAGTGACTTAACACATATTTTTAAACACCTCAATTAATTCCTCACACATCCAAGACTCCATATTGCCAATTTAAGAAATTAACACTTTTGAATTATATCACATTTAATTAAAATTTACAATTTAATTAAAATTTACAGTCCATATAGTCTCTTTTTGTTTTCAAATAATGTCCAATTCAAGTATTTATCCAGTCCATTCTAAGTTAAAGATTTGTTATCTTCCACAGTTGTTGAGAATTGAAACCAAGCAATGTAGAAAGACGAATACTCCTTAAAAGTTCCCCGTTTCCAAATTATCTTTTAGTAGTCAAGTTCACAGCTGTACTTTCTATTCTATCTTCCAACAAATATTGCAGTACTCTCTTTCCGCCAGCAGATGTCTCTCTCAAATCCACAATATTCTCGAACCAACTAAATGTCAAAGCTGTCAAAAATATTTTAAATCCACATAAAAAATACTTTTCCTTGGATTTTCTTTTATTATTTTTAGTTTCTCCAAATCCAATTATAGATACGAAAACTTTCTTGGGCTTTAATATTCTAGCTTCCTCTTTGTTCTTCTCCCTCCATAGAATTTCCCAAGTGCCAATTAGCCGCTCATTTCAGCTCTGGGACACCTTTTAATGTTCCAATTCAAAATTTTCTTTTACCTGTGAGTTGGCCAATCACTCACCCGGTACCAGCACTCCATTCAAACACCGCTCCTGCACAAAGATTTAGTCCAGTTGCCCCAGCTTCAGAGTGGTCATTTTACAATGGCTGCCACCCCTGCTGCCAGTCTGAAGAGCTGCCTCTGACCTTTCGAGGACAGACCTTGCCTGTTCCTCTTCGTCGTCCGAGACACCTCTCCTTTCAAACCATCCCTACAGGACAGTTCCGGTCCGAAGACCCCCCGACAATGGTTTGTCCGGCTGGATTTTCATGGAGCTTGTCAGAGCCCGCTATTTTTTCAGCCAGTGTTGCCGCGACGCTTCCAGTTTCAGCAGTACTAATACTTCAGATGTATTCATATATTCATATTCCTATCCAGGATTGTATTAGCTTTTTTGCCTGCTGCTGGCTCATATTCAAGCGATCATCCACTAGGACTCCAAGGTTCCTCTCACAGTTACTGTTTTGAGTCAGGTCTTGCCTAATCTGTACCTTTGATTTCTCCTGCCTAAATGTAAAGCTTTGCTTTTCTCCACATTGAAATTCATTTTGTTGGATAGGGCCCATTGTTCAAGTTTGTCAAGATCTTTTTAGATCCTGAGTTTGTCCTCTGGTGTACTGGTTATTCCTGCTAGCGTCATCTGCAAATTTGATGAGTTCCCCTTTTATTCCTTCATCTAAGTCATTGATAAAGATATTGAAGAGTACTGGGCCTAAGACGGAGCTTTGTGGTACCTCACTGCTTACTTCTCTCCATGTGGATGTAGTACCATTAAGGATTATTCATTGAGTACAGTTTGTTAGTCAGCTACAAATTGATCTGGTGGTGATGTTGTCTATTCCACATTTTTCTAGCTTATCAAAAAGTAGATTGTGGTCCACTTTGTCAAATACCGTACTGAAATCCAAGTATACTATGTCCACAGCATTTCGCTGGTCTACTAATTTAGTGACTTTATCAAAGAATGAAATAAGATTGGTTTGCATTATCTGTTTTTAACAAACTTGTGCTGGCTACTAGTTATAATTTTATTTGCTTCTAGTTGTTCGCAGATCTGTTTTTTGATTATCTTTTCCAGGATCTTCCCAGATATTGATGTTAGACTAATTAGTCTGTGGTTTCCTGGGTCTGTTCCTCCCCCCCATTTTTTTGTGGGGGGGAGATGGGAACCACATCAGCACTTTTCCAATCCTCAGGTACTTCCCCTGTGCTCCAGGATTTTTGAAAGACATGGTACAGTGGTTCTGAGATAACATCTGCCAGCTCCTTTAGAAATCTGGGATGTAATCTGTCAGGTCCCAGTGATTTATATTCATCAAGGTCAGACAGGTGTTCTCTTGCCATTTTTTTGCCTATTTTAATTTTTATTTCTAGTTGTCTTTTACAGTAGTTTTTTCGGTACGTTGGGCTATAATTTCTTTTTATATGAAGACTGATGCAAAGAATGAGTTAAGCAGCTGTTTTCTCCCTACTGCCAGTTACTTCCTTGCCATCTTCTCTCTTTAGTGGACTTACTGTTTGTTTCCTTAACTTTTTTCTTGTTATAAATATGTTGAAACTTTTTCAATTATCTTTGACTTTTGTAGCAAGCCTTAGTTCACTCCGAGTCTTTGCTTTCCTGACTTCCTCTTTGCATGTTCTGGCTATCTGCTGATAATCAGCCCTAGTTACATGTCCCTCTTTCCATTTTCTGTGCTTGTCCTTTTTGTCTTTCAGTTTGTCAGAGAGATCTTTGTGCAGCCATGCTGGTTTCTTATTGAATTTCTTGTTTTTCTTTTTCAGTGGTATTGTGCTGGAATGGGCTTTTATGATCACATTTTTCAGTTTCCCAGCTTCTTGAGGTTTTTTTTTCTCTTTAGGATTTTCATCCATGGACTCTTTCCTAGGGTCTCTCCAAGTTTGTTAAAATCAGCTCTTTTAAAGTTTAAAACACTGGTTTGATTATTTTCTATTGCTTGTGTTATATTGAATTCCAGTATGATGTGGTCACTTTCACTCAAAGTTCCAGCAATTTCAACTCCATCACTTCTTAGTAAGAATTAGGTCCAGTATAGCTTTACTTCTAATTCCCTTCTCTACCTTTTGGATGATAAAGGTGTCAGTTAGATTGGTTAGAAATGTTTGATCTCCCACTCGCTGCAGAGTTGGTCTCCCAGTTGATATCTGGATAGTTAAAGTCTCCCATTACTACTGTGGTATACTTCCTACATACATTTGTTAACTGGTTGGCAAAGAGTTCATCTATTTCTTCTGATTGGGCCATCAAAAGAAATAGATGAACCCCTCACTGGGCCATCTCACAAAAATGTCAACATATCCAATGTTCCATTAGCCAATTTTGCAGGAAAAATACAATAGTCTATTAATAGATTTTAGAATATATTTATTTTAATCCTCTCTTATATTTTCAAACACAACTAAAATAGAACCTTATTATGTTTTCTTTCTTTTAATTTGAGTTAAAATGTAATAAGAAGGATACTGCTTAGATCTCTTTCGGAATTTTTAAAGTTGCTGAATAACTTTTCATGTAGAATTCATAGTGTTTAAATCAGAAGCTGCAAGCCTCCATCTACAACCAAAACAAGGCCTGTTACATAAGGAGTTTCTAAAAGGAATGCAATACTTTGGGCAACTTCCTGTGGCTGACCAAATCTTCTAAGAGGAATTGTTTTTTTCAGCTCTTCTTCTTTCAAATGGGCTGTCATATCTGTATGAATGAAGCCTAAAAAAAGAAGAGGGAGGAGTTTATGAAATAAAATTCTCCTGGCATTAGTGTTATATGACTTCAAAATGCATATATCACAGCTGGACAACTATGAGTCATTTCAAGAAAAATAATTGCATTGAAGTGAAAAAGGCAGTTGTACACAGATCTGACGGAGGTTTACATACTTCCTACTTTACTACATACTGCAAACACACTCTTAAAACTAATTGAAATATTTTATACATGGTATAGACACAAAAACACACATACATTATCATAGAAGGATAATTCATATTCATAGTCTTAATGTTTATTTGCATGCCCATTCAGCAGTCTGACAGTTCTTAGTAGGACTTGCTCCAAATAAAGTATATGCAGAATTGCAATTTTAGCGAAGTATAATGAAGAGACATGCACATTTAATAAAATCAGCAGAGATTATGATTGAGAAATATATTTTTCTCTTGGGATGTAAACCTGGAAGTTTTACTCAGAATCTGTACACTGTGTGCACAATTATTAGGCAAGTGAGTATTTTGACTCACTATGCATAATTTTATGCACATTTTCCACCTCCATGCTATATAAACTTGAATCCTCAGGTAATGTGTATTTGTGTAATGAGGGAGGGTGTGGCCCAAGATCAACACCCTATATCAAGGTGTGCATAATTATTAGGCAGTTTTTTTTCCTCAGGCAAAATGGGCTTAAAAAGAGATTTAACTGACTCTGAAAAGTTAAAAATTGTAGAAAGTCTTTCAGAGGGATGCAGCACTCTTGAAATTGCTAAGATATTGGGGCATGATCACAGAACCATCACACATTTTGTTGCAAATAGTCAACAGGGTCACAAGAAACGTGTTGAGAAAAAAAGACACAAATTAACTGTCAAAGATTTGAGAAGAATCAAGTATGAAGCTACCAGGAACCCATTATCCTCAAGTGCTGTCATATTCCAGAACTGCAACTATCTGGAGTGCCCAGAAGTACAAGGTATTCAGTGTTCAGAGACATGGCCCAGGTAAGGAAGGCTGAAACTCGACCATCACTGAACAAGACACATAAGTTGAAACGGTAAGACTGGGCCAAGAAATATCTGAAGACAGATTTTTCAAAGATTTTATGGACTGATGAGATGAGAGTAACTCTTGACAGACGAGATGATTGGGCCCGTAGCTACATCAGTAATGGTCACAGAGCTCTACTTCGACACTGACGCCAGCAAGGTAGGGTAATAGTATGAGCTGGTATTATGAAATATGAGCTAGTTGGACCTTTTGGGGTTGAAGATGGGACTCAAAATCAACCTACTGCCAGTTTTTAGAAGACACTGTGGTACAGGAAAAAGTCTGCATCTTTTAAGAAGACCATGATTTTTATGCAGGACAATGCTCCAACACATACATCAAAGTATTCCACTGTATGACTAGCCAGTTTTTCATTTTCAATTTTTTTTAAATACACATGGAAAAAGAAACTGATACTATTGTGATCTGTAGAACACGTTCCATGTATACACTTATGTCCATAGAATACCCAAACTATATATGTACCAAATGTAAATTAATCAAGTTACTAGAAGAAAAAGTAAAGAGTCTAGAGGAAACTCTAACCACTCTGAAATTCAACCTACAAAATGAGAAACCTCAAATCTTGCAAGATGAATATGCCCAAATTGAACATAATAATGAGCAAACAACTTCTAAAAGAATTGATCCTTAGTGGAAGAAGACCTATTGGAAACATGTCACTCATAGAAAAAAACACAAACTTTGTATACAATCCCTGTACAACCCAACCCACTTTGATGCAGCCCCACTGGTGCTAAGCAATCAATTTCATGGACTCTCCCTAAAAGAAAACATGCAGACACATTGAGAATAAGTATCATTAAGTGTCCCTAAAAAAGTAGCACCATCAAATGCTTCTGTGATAGATAGAAAAATACCCCAAACCTCCCTAAGAAAAAAAGGGCGAGTGTTGGTGATAGGAGATTCAATTCTCAACCTAACCAAAATGAGAGAACTAGTTGGTGCCACGGCGGGAATGGCTGAAAATAGTGGAGCTCCGCCGAGCTCCATGAAAATCAGCTGGTATCTGCTTGCCGGGAGACCCTACGGGGTCAAAGCCACCCTGGAGGGCTGGGGAAGGAAGGAAAGGTGCTTTGTCAACCATGAGGAAACTGCAATTTCCTTGTTAGGTCCGAAGAAAGCTCTACCAAACAGCTTTTTGACGATGGACATTTTTGGCAAGTCACAAGCTGTGACAACTGGGACAATAATTGTGCTGAAGCGGTTTGTGGACAGAGCATTGAAACTGGGTGAGACAACTTCCAACTTTTATTCTAGAGATCTAACCCAATGGTGAAATGTAAAATCTGTTACTACCGGTGGGCGTGGCTTGGTGGGGGGTAATGTGACTGGATGGGCATGGCCAGCTTTCTTTTTTCTTTTTACTTTTAAAAGCATTTTTTCTACATCATCTTTGGCCAAAGAGGTTGTTAAAAAATGCTTTTAAAAGGCTCTGCCATCAGGCAACTCAACTGGGATCATCAGAGCCTTTTAAAAGCATTTTTTTTTACAACCTCTTCAGCCAAAGAGGTTGTAGAAAACATGCTTTTAAAAGGCTCTGACGATCCCAACTGAGCCGCGTAATCATCAGAGGCTTTTTTTTTACTTTTAAAAACATTTTTTCAGCAAAAATGCTTTTAAAAGTAAAAACAAGCTTCTGATGATCGCGTGGCTCAGCTGGGCATGGGGGGGGGCAGGGATTTTTGCTACCGGTTCTCCAAACCACCCGCCGCTATTGCTACCGGATCGGGAAATCCGGTCCGAACCGGGAGCATTTCACCCCTGATCTAACCTAAGTAAAAGAATTTTAAAAAATAATCTCCAAACATTAAGAAAGCAGCGACTGGATACATAGACAAAGATTAAAGACTCAGAAGTGAAGCTTTAAAACATAAAAAGCCTGGAAAAGTTTTTTTCCGGGGGGGAAGGAATGAGTACAAATTGGGAAATAGTATTATATACACTGAGGTATAAAAGAATCTATTATAGCTACAATGTGTATATTAAGATTAGTCGGAAGACAAAGATTATGTATATTGGATTGTATTATTAATATTAGCATTGAGTAAAAAATATATTGACCCAGTCAGTACACTGTTCACAAAATATGTATGGTTGTTAAAGGAAAATTACAAATAAAACATATATTAAACAAAAAGAACCTAACCAAAATAATACAACCCACAGATTATCAACCTTTTCTACTACTACACATAGGGACAAATGACACAAAAACCAATATTGAGTGATTACGAGCAGCTAGGCAAGAAAGTCAAGGATTTAGGTGCACAAGTAGTTTTTTCATCTGTACTGCCAATGAAAGGACAACATCCGGTAAGAGTACAAAGAATTTAGAAGTGAATCACTGGTTAAAGGGTTGGTGTTGCCAAAAAAACTTTGGATTCCTGGATCATGGTCTGTACTATCTCCATGATGGGCTTTTGGCAAGGGATGGGCCGCACCTCACAAGGACTGGGAATAATGTTTTCGGAAAACGACTGGCTCAACTTATCAGGAAAGCTTTAAACTAAAATTGAGGGGGGAGAGTGGCAAATCTTTAGGATCTCCAGGACCTAATTCCAAGCAAAAAACCCCAGAAAGGAAGTCAAATAATGAAGTAAAGAGGGATGGGAAGGAAGACAAACTCAAACACCAAATAGGAGACATAGGAAGCATATCCAGAGTCAAACATAAAGATCTCAAGTGCCTATATACAAATGCACAAAGTCTGGGGAACAAACAGGGTGAACTTGAACTATTAATACATGTGATATAGTTGATATAGTTGGAATAACAGAAATTTGGTGGGATGAAACCTGTGACTGGAACATACTGATAGAAGGCTATAAATTGTTCAAAAAAACCCAGACCCCATAAAAGGTGGAATTGCACTGTATGTAAAGGACCACTATATTGCTACAGAAATGCATGAAACCAAAGATGAAAACCTACTAGAATGCATATGGATCATTATAAAAGAAAAAAAGAATGACATTGCCATAGGTGTATACTATAGGCCACCCAATCAAGCAGAAAAAATAGATGTCCTTTTTGCTAACCAACTAACAAATATATGTAGGAAACACACTACAATAGTAATGGGGGACTTCAATTACCCTGACATCAATTGGAAGACTAATTCTGCACCAGGTAAGAAATCAAATAGGTTCCTAACCAACCTAGCTAACAACTTTGTTGTCCAAAAGGTAGAGGAGACAACTAGAGGGATAGCCATACTGGACTTAATACTTACAAACAGAGAAGACGTGATAGAGGGAGTTGAAACTGCAGGAACCGTAGGTGAGAGTGACCATGTCATAACAGAATTCAACATAACACAAACACAAGCAATAGAACATAATGATACCAGAGTCTTAGATTTTAAAAGAGCTGATTTTAATAAACTCAGAGAGAACTTGGGAAAGATTCCTTGGTTGAAAATCCTAAAGGGGAAAACAACTCAAGTATCTTGGGAAACTCTGAAAAAATATCATAAAAGCCCAGACCAGCACAATACCAATGAGAAAGAAAAACAAGAAATCCAAGAAGAAACCAGCATAGCTGCATAAAGATCTCTCTGACAAATTGAAAGACAAAAAGGACAAGTACAAAAAATGGAAAGAGGGACACACAACTAAGGCAGAATATCAGCAGATAGCCAGAATCTGCAAAGACAAAGTCAGGAAAGCAAAGGCTCAGAATGAACAAAGACTTGCAACAAAAGTCAAAGATAATAAAAAAGTTTCTTCCAACATATAAATAACAAGAAAAAAAATTCAAGGAAACAGTTGGTCCACTAAAGAGAGAAGACAGCAAGGAAGTAATAGGCAACAGAGAGAAAGCACAGCTGCTTAACTCATTCTTTGCATCGTTTTCATGCAAAAAGAAACTATAGCCCAACCTACCAAAAACGTAACTGTAAAAGACAGACTGGAAATAAAAGTT